GGGTGGGGGTGGGAGAAGGGTGGCGGGGGGCAGCGCTTGTCGAGGGTGGGGCAGGGGGCGCGCACGCAGCCCAGGGGTGAGGTGCGGGGCGCGGTGGGGAGGGTGCTGGCACGAGGGGGATCGCAGGTGCGCACCTGGGCTCAGGAATTTCTTTCGCAATGCGATCACCTGTCGAGTGGTGGCGGGTGACAAAATATGGGGGGGCGGGGTGCTCTCCAGTCATGTGAGTTGCGGGGGAGTTGGAGCGGTTGCATTTGCTGAGCCATCAGCAGCCTGTACCGACCTCCCATATCCGTGAGCACCGCTCTGCTGGCAATTAAAACCATTGCTTGCATGCCGGCGAGGAGTCCCGCATGGAAGCGCCCTGGACACGACTGAACAGAGCAGCAATTTTGAGCGCAGCGGACACCGCGAGCGAGCCTGCAGCGGGGCGTCATTACCTCCTCCTTGCTTGGGCCTTTGTATGCCAGGGGCTTGTAATCGTAAGGCGGCATCTGCGGGAGTTCCGCTTCCTTTTCCGGTTGCGCTGCGAAGCCCCGGGTCGAAGATTGGAGCCATGGCAGAGCTTGCGCCAGTGCCTGTCCCCGCAGCAGACCGCGGGCGATTGAGAAAGACATTCAGAGACCGCTGCCTGATACCTAAGCTGCTTGTGCACCCGATCTCGCGTGCTGATCTGTTTGCGCTGACGAACAATGTGCACGTGGTCCAAAGAGTCGCAAAAGCGGCCTCTGAAGCTCACTCGAACCCCGAAAACACATCAACATTCAATGAGGTTGTGTGCTGTACATGTGCGTTTGCTGAGTCACAATCATCACACCTGGCACCCACCCTGCCCTGCCGGGCGACCGCTCCTCAAGAGAGCATCCAACACTCAGCCACAGCGTTGCGACGCAGTGCACCCGTTTCACCCTGCTGCCAAAATTCTAACTTGCGGACCTTGCTGACAGCATTCGTGCCGGCCTGTGGCAAATCGCTAGCAGCAGCTGAGCAGTCGATTGGACATGCGCCTATGAACAGTCTCGTTTCCCAGTCTCGTTTCCCACTCATTGCCCCTGCATGGCTCAGATATCACCAGATGAAAAGCTTGTACTTACTGAATGCGGGGGCGATTGAACAGCCTGATTCAATGGGTGGAAGATCTGAGGGATCACAGGGTGGGAGACGTGGGAAGTCACAGCCCAGTACATACTCTGAGGGGCGCACAAAGCGGTTGCAGCATCTTAGCTTGCAGGAGGACCTTTGAGGTAAACAGGCTGGGGGGATCACAGGCCCAGGGATACATGGACGGCAGCTGGCATGCGGCTGCCCCTCGATGCACATGCAAGCGCACACGATATCACGGGGTCGGTTCGCGGGCCACAGGACTGAGAGAAGCAGCGTTCACCCCAGCGATTGGTGCGGTGTGGCGCCGGCATGCTGCATGCAATGCAATGTGCTGCGAGGCAGCGGCGCGGCGCGTGCAGGTGGGGCCAGGACGGATGCTGGTGGGTTCTGGACAGGCCGTGCTGCCAGGTGCGGGTACGCAGCAGGCGGGGCAGAGCAGCAAGTGAAACAGGGCTCAAGCGCCATGAGGAGGGTTGCGCGGCGGGCTGCGCGCCCTCGCTGCGGTCAAGCACCAGCTCACCCACATGCTTGTTCGACGTAATTCAGGTGGCTTGGGGCGGCACGCGTGCTTGCATACACGCTTACGCAGGGGCGCAGGGTGGGACCGCATGCAACAGCCAGCAAATACGGGGCGAGTTGATGACGCGGTGCAAACCAGCATGCATTGAGGCGCGCTGTTGCAGGCGTGCGTAATGCAGGCCCTCCACTTTGTATTGCAAAAGGTCTGAGCCCAGAGCGCAGGTCGCGGGCGGGGCCGCAGCACAGCACGTGCCCATGAGGCGAGCCGGTCCATGCTGCGCGCCACCAAACGACAAAGACACCACTGTGGTGCGAGAATACAATACTGAACTTGGAACCATGGGATAGATGCAGCAATGCTTGGGGTCACTGATGCACCCACAGATGGTGACGCGAGTGCTGGCTTGGGGACCGGCAAGACGGACATCTCAAAATCCACCCGCGAGGCATGCTTGGTATTCGAGGCAGCTGAGCTGCTGCGCGCCAGGCGCTGGGCGACCGCCACAGCCCCCGACCACACACGCCTCGCGTGCCGCGCGCCCTAAACCCGCGCTCACGCTTACGCGCGCGCCGCAGCCGCGGCCGCGGCCGCCCTCGCCGCCGGCCTGCTGACCGCCGCGCCGCTGGCCCTGCCGCCGCCGGCGCCGGCGGCGGCCGCCTCAAAAGATTCCACCTTGGACGTGGCGCGCAGGGCCTCGTACATCGCGTCGATCTGCGGCTGGAAGTGCTGCTGCAGGGGGGCGCGCTTGAGCTTGAAGGTGGGCGTCATGAGGCCGTTGTCGACGGAGAACTGCTCGGGGGAGAGGTGCACCGCCTTGACGATCTCAAAGCCCTGCAGGGCCGTTGGGTGGGGG